TATTTATTAGGGTAGCCAACACGAAGCATCCCCCTCCCTGCCTCCTGACTTAGAGCTTGCGAGCCGGGTTCCACAGCGTGAACTCTGGCACCTCGCTGCCGCTCTCAGCTCAGGCCCAGAGCCCACCGCCTTCCGCTGCTGCCCCGGCCTTTCTGCTTCCTGGCCAGGCGGTGCTCCTTCCACGCGCAGGGAATTGCGGGTCGCGGGGCCCCAGGCCTTCTCTCCCATGAAGCATACCCTGAAGAAAGCCCTCAGCAGTTCTGGAATGTAGAGGGCGTTCTGCTCCCATGTTTGTATGCCTCGGTTGTGCAGCCGACCTTTAGGAGGTGTGGAGGGAGATCTCCCCTTGAGGGTTTGCAACACCACCTTCAACGGCAGCCAGCTCTGTAAGATGGTGTCAGCATGATGACTGTGCTCCTTGGCCTGAGCCGAGCTCACCGCTGAGAGGTTAGAGCTGTCGTGGTGTGTGTGTGTGTTGGGGGGGGTCTCCGTGGTGATCTCAGGAGAGAAGACACTGATGGCCTTGGGGCAGGGCTGGCCTAGGTCCGCAGGAGCTCGTGGGAGCTTCTGGGTACCTTGGTGTAGAGGCAGCACTGGGGACACAGGTCCACCAGGAAGCAGCGGGCCCAGAGGTAGTGATGGAGACTGTTTTGGGGGGATTTGCTCAGGACAAAAGCAAATTGGGAAGAGCAAGGGCTTACTTAGCTAGAAGACCTCGGTTTGAATTTGGGCTTCAGCACATACTAACTTGTCCCCATGAAAACCTCCTCATTTCAGAGGCAGTTTCCTCATCTATAAAGTGGGTAATAATAGGACCTCCCTTTGGGTTTTATGGGGTTCAAACGAGGTGCTATGTGTGAGACACAATGCCTGACCTATGTGTACAGATGCTCAACAACTCCTGGGCTCCTTATTTGAGTAAAGAGGCGCAGGATATGGTGGAATGGGCTCTTTCCTCTTCTTTCTCTTCCCTACTATCTTCATTCCCCTTTCACGCTCTGGGGGGACCTCAGCTCTCCCCAGCCTGCTGACCCTTGCCTGACACCTCCTTCCATTCCAGCCGGTGAATCTGCTTCCCCATGGGGACCATCCACATTTGTTTTTACAATCCCCTCCCCTCTCCCAACCCATCTAAACTGCTCTCCCTCCATGAGCTGTTTGCAAATCCACAGGGCTTTTCCCTTCTCAGAGGTCTACAGTATTGTCACCTCCCTCCCCATCAGAACTCAATTAGTCATATGTTCAGCTTTCCATGTATGAGGAACGGTTTCAAAGGTAAGAGTTTCCTGTGTGGTTGGAGGTTTCCATACAAGGACCACCCCCCTCTGGATTCTGCTCCCCTGGGAGCAGGGAGAGCTGGGTGGCCGACAGAGATGGGTCACACACCAGGAAGCCAAACACGGTAGATTTACTAGGGTAATATCCGCAGGGGAGATAACAGCACATACATACAGAAATCCATGGGCAGAGATACCACCCGGCACCACAAACACCAAAGCAGCAGGGGAGTGGGGGGCCTCAGGAAGTGGCTTTGGAAAGTTCTCTTGAAAATCCAAGGGCAGCTTTGGTGCTCAGAGATTCAAACAGAAAACTATACAAAACCAACCCATAAATATATATATATATATTATATATGTGTGTGTATATATATATATATAAAATTGCAAAATAAAAGCCCAAGAAACTAATCATCAATCTGCACATCAGTGGCTCAAAAAGTGTTAGCGTAGAGAAAGGCAAAACCGTTTGTGGGGATGATGCATGACCCAGGGGGCTGGCATTTCCATAGCAGAAAGAGTATTTACATGGAACCCCTATTTGAGACTTCACAATACTAGGAAAAGCTATACACAGACAATGCATGTACAAGGGAAGACGATTGTCAGACACAGACATTTCACTGAAACCATCCACGGTTTTAGAGGACACGGCACTCTCTATCTAGACCCCTGCATACCCAGCCAGGCGAGCCCAGGCCTTGGACCCTCTCCCCACGCGAGTCTTCCTGGGAGAGGGAGGAACACAGCGCCAGACTCAGCGGCTGGAGCATGGATGGCAGGAATTTAAAGGTGGACTAGACCACAGAGATCAAGCTGTCACCCAGAAGGCAGGCCCAATAGGCACGAGGTGGGGCTGAAGTGTGGGGGCAGGGATCCCCAAAATATAGTCTCATTTTATAAGAGCTTTGATGTATTTAAATTGGCCCCTCTGTCCTTGGCCAAGGGTCGTCCTCCTTCTGATTCATTTAAAAAGGGAAAATCTAAAAGTTATATGAGATGATCTGTTGGAAGGGAGAAGAGTTTGGGGGTTTTCTACAGTTCTTCTCCCACCACCCCAAAACCCCACGTTTTCTCTAAGCTACTTAGAGGTTGGGGACTTGCCACATTGCAAATGGCCTCATCCTGCTCCTCAGGAACCAGTGGGTGGGAAGAGATCTGAGGAGCCACCACACCAGGAAAGCTACTGAGGCTCGGCCTCTGGCCACACCTGCGTCCCCTGTGTCAGTGACTATGACCATTTCTCCTCCATCTTCAGGCCCAATTCCTCGTAGCAATGACCCAACTTTTGGGGTCATCTTGAAGGCAAATGGCACCAAACACCGATTTGGCAAAACCCAAGTAGGAACCAATACAAACCATCGCTTCTGTATTTTTAAGAAAACCCTCAACTGGAAATTCTAATTGTTCCTCAAAAGAGAAGCCTATCTACATAAAATGAGGAAAGAAGATTTCTCCACTAAAGAAGGACACCCCACCGGAAATGCCCACATTGATTCCTGGGTGAGGGTGGCTTCTCACAGCAAGAGGCTCAAGAGGGTTGAATGTGCCCTGGTTATGGGGCTCCACGTGTGCTCTTTTGTTTCTGGCAAAAAGTAAGCCACATCCAAGTGGGTAGGTTGGCTAGACAGGGCATTGGGAAGTCATCACTCTACCGTGTCTGCGTTCTCATACTGAGACACAAGTGAAACTGCAACAAATGAGTAACCGATGAGCGTATTTCTTCAGAGTCCGTTCAGGCCTCTGGCTTTTCATATTCAATTGTCCCTTTTGGAACAGATGGGGAACAATTGTGGGGTGCCTTGTCTTTTCTGTGGGAATGGAGAGCATGGGTTTACCTCCTCCCTAATTTCTTCTCAGATGCTCTCAACGTTATTGTCTTTGAGAGTTTGCTTAGACTCAAGTGGTAAGAGAAGATACAAGACCTCTTTCCTCTATGCTCAGAGAGTCAACAGCAGCTCTAGCAACCACTTCAAGGGCTTCTGCTGACCTGCATAAGGAAAAGGAGTAAGGACTTGTACAAAAGATGGCCTCCACAGGCCAATGGTAGGCTATGTGTCTATCTACCCCTATGCATATGTCCCTCGAAAAATCAAACTTCTTTTTGATCTTTTCGGCTTTCGGAAGGGAATCATGCTGTTGGGGGAATGGTTCTTTCAAATCCATGGTAATCAGAGAAGTGGCCTGTAAGGACAGCAGTAGCCCTGTTATGACGGTGCTGAATGATATCTGAATGTCTGCCTTGCCACATTCAGTGCATCAAACACTGGGAGAAGATTCAAGGCTCAGTATACATAAATCCATAGTATGAGAGCAATGCTTTCCAGTGGGGTTCTTACAGACCAGGGTCCTCATCCAAATCCCTGCAAGTCCCTTAAAAAGAACTTTTCTATCTGCAGAGGAAGAACCCCATTTTCATTACAGGACTGTTGAGGGATACTATTTTTTAAAAGATTTATTTATTTGAGAGAGAGAGAGAGAGCATGAGTGGGAGGGGCAGAGGGAGAGGAAAAGAGAATCTCAAGCAGACTCTGCGCTGAGCATGGAACCCAATCCAGAACCCTGAGATCATGATGTGAGCCGAAACCAAGAGTCAGAAGCTTACCCAACTGCACCATCCAGGCGCCCCTTGGGGGAGGTTATTTTTATCTGTGTGTAACCTGGCCGAAGTTGGACAGTTGCTTGGGTCACTACAGACCAGGAAGCTCTAATGGAGCACAGATCTGTGCTAGAGGCTTGCCCCTTGGCAAAGCTTTTTGCAAAGTTTGAGAAAGGTCACATGGTGTGGACGGTTCTCCCACATCACTTCTGGGTGCCAGCCACTAGTGCACGGAAAGTCACTGGAACCAAGTTGTCCCTCTGTAACCGTCTCTCCTTCTGCCTCCCCACCCTGCCCCATGGAAACAGCCTCAAAACGGCCCCCCTGCCCAGCTCAGCCATCCATCACACTGCAGACTGGCTCACATGTTCTCATCCCTTTCTGCGGCATATCCAAGTACAGTGCCTTCACTAGAAATGACCCTCCTACCTACCACTCTGAGCTCTCCATAGAGACATTTTCTCCAGACAGACGCTGGTCGAAATTCTCAGCCAACTTTTATCCAGATCCAAAGAAAACGCCCCATCCTCTCCCTAAAAGCCTATGGTTTTGTTTGGACTGCACGTCTCCTGCTACAGCATCCAGTGCACCACCTTGAGCCTGGCGCTAAGCATGCCACTGCTGACACGTGAGGGAGAGCAAGAAATGGGCAGAGGGCCTCAACAGCTCCCGTGGCAGTTCTGCAGCGAGAAGAAACGAACCTGGAAACCGCACCAAGCATTAGCTCTTCGAATGTTTCCCTCTCCTTGTTGAAAATCTTTCCTAAGATGCCTTACCCAAAGACCGTTAGGGAAGCAAAATTCTGTGCCAGAAGCATGCTATTTGCTATAAAGGAAAACGTAGTGTAAGGCAGGCCACCAGGCATGTTTCAGTGCTGACGTTTCAGAAGGTCCTCATTAGGAGATCTCCTGGGCTTTCACCGCACTCAAGTCATTCTCCAGCCACCAAACGGATTTTTGTAAAATTCAAGCTTGATCATGACACCCTGATGTAAGCCATCAGCAGCTCCAAACCCCCTTCAGGATAAAATCTAGTTGCACACTTCTGTAGGTTTCTCTCTGACCCAGCCCTGCTCACCTACGAAACAAAGCCCCCGCACCCCCCTTATACCTTACATTCTGGCATTACTGCATGACTCAGTGGGCCTGTCATGGAGTTTTGTGCTTCCGTGCCTTTGCACACGCTCTTCCCTCGGCACGAATATCCCACCGACACTTTTGTCTTCCTGGAGAATTCTTCTTTGAAAACCTAACTCAATCATCACATCTTTCAGGAAAGTTTCTCTGGTCCAGAAGACAATAAATCATTACTTCCTTATGTCCCCTCTGCCCCCTTGCCCTTTCCGTAACTTGTCTATAAGCCTCCTATACTTAAAAACTTCTGTGGGCAGGGACTATGCTCTGCCTTCAGACTTAACCCATGACCCAAGCTCATGGGGTTTTTTGTTGTTGGTTGTTGTGTTCGAGTGCATGAGGATGAACAAATGGATAAATATAAGGTGGACCCATGGCATAAATCCCAAGGATGATCCTCCAGCAAGACTCTGGCATTTTCACCTAAATGAGGTCTCATTGTTGTAAAGGGAATAAAGAGAGTTTGTTGAATGCGAAGAGTCAATCAACATCATCTCTGAGCTACAACCACTCAAGCACGAAAAGCTGCGTCAATGGTAATCCACTCCACTCTTCTCTTAACATTGCTGGCTGCTGATGATCCTAGGCGCAATGAGTGGTTTCTCTTAATGACGGCATAATGCCTGGTGCTCTGTGGGTGCTTAACAAATATTGTGAGGGATGAAGGAATGAATGTGAAATCTATTTTTTCAAAGAAGGCATCAAAGGATTGGCTCTTAAAGGCATTTCCCACAACATGGACTTTGTGTGAGGCACTGGATGCCCCTGACCATTGGGTTGCCCATCACAAGGCCCATCAGAAAGTAGAGCAGTGTGGGGGCTGGGGTAGCAGTTAGGACTCTGCTCTAGAGAGATGCAGTACTGGGTTCTCTTTAGCCATGTGTCAGCTTCCTTTCTTCTCAAGAAATAGCCCCGTCCCCCAAACACTGTGGCCCAACCAGAAGGCTCCTGCCTCTCCTTCATCAGAGGTCCACATTGGCCTCGCCACAATCCACATTTATCAGGAGCTTCACGTGCACTCATGAGGGAGAACACAGGTAGTTTCCTGCCTTCATTTCAAATGCTGACATTACACAGTGGAAACAAATCACAGAAATGGGTCCTGAACTAAATTAGCCCCCGGCCTTGGGGATTTCAAGTTTTCTAATCACCGTAACTGTTAAGAACAAAGGCTCTGGACTCAGACTGACCCAGGGGTCAAATCCAGGCTCTGGATCTTTCTAGCCAAGTCACCTGGAGTAAGTCAATTGTCCTTTTGGGGCTCAGTTTTCTTACTGGTAAAATGGGAATATCTTACCCACATCACAGGATTATCGTGACAGTCAAAGGGTGTAACGCATGGAAAGCCTGCACGGTGTCTATATATAGAAAGTAAGTGCTCAAAAGTGGAAAACTGTGATTAAGAACTTTCAAAAGTACTTTCACAATAATCAGGACAAAAAGGAAAAATACTCTTTGAAGACACTGTGCTATAAAGAGAATGGATTGTCTATTTTTTAGGAGCCAACAATGCTCATTATTCGATGTCCCGTGGAAGAATATGAAAAGATAGTGCTGGCATTTACAACAGCAGCTGTAGCTCTCACTAGGCCCCAGGATGGACAGATAGTGACAGGGCAAGGACACTCAAGCTGATTTTTCTGATAGCTGATCCAAGGAATGAATCCTCAAGGGCTCATCTCATTCTCCTCTGCTGGACCCAGAGTGACTGAGTCAGAACCCAAAGGAGCCAAGGTCAAGGTGCCAAGAATAAGATGCCAGTTCCAGTCTGTGAGCCAGTGCTTCCAGGTTTGAAGGAAGGTCAGGGGACACCTGACTGCCGGATAGGAGAGAAACGGGTACAGCCACATTGCTCCATGTATCATGCAAAGCTAGAAAGGCATAGCATTTCCTGTGTTGTTTTGATCCTCCTTGTACAACCCAAAGCCAACAGAGGATCTAAATTTCCCCAAATTTCTGCCCTGAGCATGAGACAACTTTTCTCTAAGCTAAATTTGGTTTTAGTTTTGAAGCGCCTGAGATGCACAATTCAAATGGGCCAAGTTCCTGGCTTCTTATATTGATTAAATAATTCCCAATCCTGTGGCTGACTCAGCTTGCCCTTCTGTCTGCCCACTCTTACAATTCTTCATCCATCCATCATTCAGGAGGTTCCATGAAGAAAGCTCAGGGTTAGTGGTTGGGGAAGCACAAGCTAAGCCATCAGACCTTGGGAACAAAGATAAACTTCTGGTGTAGGGGACAGGGCAATTTGTCTGGTTACTGAGAGCAGCAGGGCAGGGACCCTACGGAAAAGAGAGATTTCTAAACTGTGACAGCTCCATTAGCAGGAGACTGGATTCCTGCAAGGAAAAGGACCTTGCTCAGGGGAAGTCTCAACCTGTCTGATTTGATCTGAGATTGTGAGGGCTTGCAGCCCACTTGGGCCTTCTGCCCTGGGCTCAGATTGGTGGACAGCATCTTCACAGAGGTGGCCCACAACTAGGCAGTGTTATGTAGTGGAAAGAGCACTGGACTAGGGGCCAGAAGACCCCAATTCTAGTGCAGGCTCTGCCACTAACTAGCTGTGTGACCTTGGGAAAGTCACCTGATTTCTCTGGGGCAATTGTAAAATGAGGGGTTGGTTGGGTAATCTCTAAGTTCCTCCTCAGAGTGTGATCCAGGGTCCTATTCTATCCCTCTTTGGCCCTGTGCTTCCAGGGACAGAGATGGGAGAAGGGAAGGGGTGGAGGGAGAGGGTGCAGATGGGAGCCCAAGGGTGCTACCAATCAGGACTCCACTTTCTCCTTCTTTTTGCTCTTTTTCAGGAAGGATGGGGTTCGGAATTTCTTCTTCTTTTTGGAGGGAGACTTGGAAGGTGAGCCCTCTGGGGACATGGGGCCGCTGGTGACCGACTCGGTTTTGTCCTTAGAGGTATCAACATCCGTGTCGGCATTGGTGGTCATCTGGCTCAAGCCTTTGCTGAGAATTTCCTCTGCGGTCTGCTCGTCCTCCCTCCCGTTGACCACCACTCCTTCTGGCTGTGTTGTTTCAGGCTCTGTGGTGGCTTTGCTTGTTTCTGTCTTCTTAGCACCTTCTAGAAAAAGATCAAGAGATATGACCCATAAGATTTCCATCTGGTGAAAGTTTCCATATGGGGTTAACAGAACCATTTCTAGGCAATTCTATAAAAGAAGTCTAGAGCAACAGGAGGGACAGGCTGACATTGTAGGGGGAAAGGGTTAGGCAGGGTTCTCACCCAAACCCTGTACCCCCTTCCACACAGCCTGCTCTGGGAACAGGCCCTTGGCAAGTCTGTTACTCTGGGGTCTTGTCCACAAATGTAAACAGGGAATGATGTCCAAACGTGGCAGGGGGCCCAGCTAGGGCCCAGTTGAGAGCTTTTGTAGGACTAAATGAGGGGACAGACCCAGGTGAGGAGAGAGGCTGTAGGAAGGAGGAGACCAGTAACACATACAACTCAGTGGAAGAATCTAAGAACTGTTGTAACCCATTCAGTTTCACCAGTAAAAATACAGAAATTAAAGTTTTTTAAAGCTATTATTTAAATTCCAGTTAGTTAACTTGAAAATTACATGTTTTTATACCCATTTCATTTCCTATACCAGAGAGGAACTTTTGGAAAAATGGGGACTATCTCCCCAGTAGGCAGAGAGGGGAAGGCAGAGGGAGAATGGAATTCCTTGAGTGATATGGACCCCATGTTTCCAAGATAAAAGGATTAACCAAAGGGGAAGATGCCTGGTTGGCCCATTCTAGTGGTCACCTGGAGGGAACCTGTTTGGATTGCTGCCATGTTCAAAGCCACAGCTGCTCAGACCCCCAGAAACTAAGCCCCCCTACTGCCCTTTTTCCTCCTTCCTACTCTCTCCCCACCTTGCTTCCACTCAAGCTTTGAAATGCCTGGATGGGGAGGTAGGAGGGGAAATTATAAAACCACAGACTCTTAAAAGTAGAAAGGAATTTACAGATCATCTAGCTCAGCTCCTCCCCATTTTACAGAAATGAAAACTAAGTAGTAAGAGTGAGCAGATCTCAATCTCCTGACATTCAGTTTTTTGTTCTTTTCACTATGTGAAACTGAGGGGAGTGTGTGAATGTATGAGAACATGTTTGTATGTGTGAATTTGTAAGTGTATGAATGTAGAGTGAGCTGTGTGAATAAGCATGGGAGTGTGGTGTATGAGTGTGTGGGTGGAGTGTATGAGTTGTGTTGAGTTTGTGTGTGGCCATATGAGTTTGTGAATGAGTGTGTAGGTGTGCTGTGTGAGTGTTGGTGTGTGTAAGTGAGTTGTGTGTGTGAGTTGTGTGAGATCTCACACCACAAGAAGGTACTGGGCATGCTCCCCTCTATAGGAATGTGAGTAATGGGTGAAGTATGACTGGTCTGACTTACAGATGGAATGGGCAGGAAAGAAGTTTTAGGAAAAAACTAAGGTTCTTGACAGGGGTAAAGACTGGAGAAATTTATGGTTACAGGGAACATGGGACAGAGGGGTGTAAATTTGGGGACAGTTAGAATGGGCTAGTTTGACTATGGGAAAACTCTGGTCTTTCCTAACTTCTGAAATTCTCTGGGCAAGTCAATGTCCTCTTCCAGATGGCTCTTGAGGACTGTCTCTCTTTTAGTACCCAACACCTTGACCCCAGCTCCCATCCTCCTACTGTTCGGCCCATGTCCTATCATCACCCAGCTACTAAGTTCTCTAAGGCCCTTTACTCCAATGACCCACATTCCCCTCCTCTCTCAACCTGTGTCCCCATGGTCATCACCTGGCAATAGTCTTGAAATCAATACACTCGTCTAACCACAACCTTCTTTCTGTCCATTCTCCTCTTCTCACATCACCTGCTAGTTGGCCTCATCAACTCTCTGGTATGGCTCAAGCCTCTCCTGACATTTGACAATGATATTGCCCTTCTTTAAATCTATTGCCAATATATCCATTTTACACTTTCATGTGTCATTTAGGAGGACATAGTTGGGTGTGGTCCCCTCCCACAATGAATCTGGTCTGGCTCCGTGGTTCACAGTAACCAACAGAATGATGAGAAAGTGCCACCGAGCCAGCCTTAGGCTGAAGACTTAAGAAGGCCTAGAAGTTCCTGCTTTCAGAGTTTGGGGAGCTCTGAGCCACTATGTAATGAAGTCCGATTACCTTGATGGAAACATACATGGAGAGGCCTACAACCACATGGACAGAGACAGAGAGACAGAGACCCAGCCATCCCAGTGTCCCAGCTGACCCTAGCCTTCCAGCTGTCCCTGCCAAGGCACCTGACATGAGAACACCATCTTGGAAGTTCCAGTTTAGTCAAGCTCACAGATGACTGCAGCTGCAGCTGACTTGAATGGAACAGAACCATCCAGCTGAGCCTAGTCAACCCACAGGAAAACTAATTTCCATAAAACCAGCTCTTATTATGCACCATGATTTAATAATTATCTACTGCTGCATAACAACCTCCACCCCCAAGTTCAGTGGCTTAAAACAGCAAGCCTATATTCTCTCTCACAATCCCAAAAACATAGTACATAATGAGAACTAATAGATGGAAGCGCATTACAAGGCCCTTTTGTATTCATTTGCTCATTTTATCCCAATAACAATGCAATGACTTAGGATAGGGCAAGGATTCGTGTTAGGCAGCCCCCCATTCTGCAGGGTTTTTAAGTGACTTATTTGAGATGGCGAAATCAGTAAGTGACAGCGATGATCTTCTGATGCTGAATGCAGGGCTATTTCTTGGCAGGCAGAGCTAGTGCTCCTGAGAGGGGTTACTGGGGGATGGAGTCAGCAGGGGCAGGGATCAGGAGCTGGTCAAAGAGAAGGCGATGACAGAGATGACCAGATGTGAAGAAAGAGGGTTTGAAAGAGTCTTCTTCAGGGAGGCTGATGGGGTAAGAGACAGATGAGGAGGGACACAGAGGTGACCCCACACCAGAGCATTTGAGAGCATGTTGACACAGAGTGAAAAGCCAGCCCTGATTCAGTGGGTGAGCTACATGTGAAAATGTACACGTTGATAGGTGTGGGAGGGTCAGCTCTGCCTGCCCTGAGGAGCTGGGCAAGCCATTGGTAGCATGGCCATGGCCACCCTGCCCTGCTCCACATTGGTCACCCAAGGCAGCTACAACTCTGGCCTCATCATGTAGGCTCAGCTCTGTCTATACTATGAGAAGAGTCTTCAGGGAGGATCTTGATTTTTCTAACAATTCAACCAGGGTGCACCCCTCCATGAGGGCACAGATTTGGACCAGATTGGGCAGAAACCATACTACCAGTGGCAATGATGTCAGGGGTGGGTAAGCAGTTATCCTACCTGTCATACACCCCTCCTTCCACTCTCTGTCCCTCTGAACAGCAGAGGTTGCTCCAAGGGGCTCCCAGGAGTTGAAATGCAATCACTACCCCTTGTCCCACTGCTGCCATAAGCTGCCTCTCCAGCTTGGATTTCCCTCCTGTGGCTGGTGTGCATGCCCTGAGGGATGCTGAAGACATGGTCAGGTCAGGTGCTCTAGGCATCTCTATAAGACAGTTGATCCTAGGGCCATTCAGGCTCTGGGCCTCAGCCCTAGAAGAGGTTATGGGCTCCTTGGAGGGGCCATTAGGAACAGGGGTGCAGATGTGTTAGTGAGGGCCATAAGCATTCCCCCACAGGGACTGCCCAGGAGCTGGCCCCACTGTCCTTTCACTGTGCAGACTTGTTGCTTCTGGATGGTATGCCCCATGTGAGGATGAGTGTGTGTGTGTGCGCATGAGTCCATCCTATGTGTGTATATCCTAGAGGGAAGCTTAGCCCATGCATAGAACATGTGGAGTTGGTCATGAACTTTATAGCCAGGAATCCTCCCCAAGTCAGGGTTGCTGCCAAAGAAAAAGCTGGGGAGAAACACATTTCTTTTTGAAGAAGTCCTCCCTCCCCCATTGCAAGTGTTGGAGGGAGTTAGTAAACAGCCTCTCTATACTTACTACAGAGACAAGTATTCAGAATCGGAGGAAACTCCTTTGATGAAGGCACAAATGGGAAGAGAAAGGAAGACATTGTGGAGACAGGTTGATAACACCAGGATGAGACACAATGAACACAAACAGTTAGGGGACATCCACTTGCAGCTCTGGCCACAAGCAGATGGGTTTCCTCTGGCAACACTGGGACTGCACGCAAGGCAGCAATTTGCCTACGGAGGGAGCTCAGAGGTTGGGGGATTCTAGCAGCATCCACACATGTGGTCATTCTATCCAGAACAGGGAAAATCTCAGGGCCCCAGGGGAGGAGTGTTCATGCCCTAGGGTGATTCCAGGAGCTCAATAAAGACACTTTTATGATGTAGGTGGTATAGACCATAATAGCAGTATTATCTACCGTATGTATATTATTAATTATAATCACAAACAGATCTTACATTTAAATGTTTTTATTCTTTCTTTTATTTCTTTTATGTTTTGTATTTCATTCTTTATGTTCCCATCTACAGCTTCCCTTCTATGTGTCAGAACCTTAAAAGGGGAAAATATTGGTAGTCCCATTTGACAGACAAGGAAACTGAGGCACAAAGATGATCTGATTTTCTAAAATTAGCAGTTGAGTTATTAATTAGCGGTTGAATTGGGCCTAGACCTTAGTTCTCTAAACTAGTATCTAATGAAGTGGTTCTTAGCCTGGGCTACACATTAGATTTACCTGGAGAGATCTTAAAACTCCAGTGTACTCTTCTCTACCCCATCCCAGACCATTTAACTGAGAACCACTGGGGGTGCTGTGGTGGGACCCAGGCCAGTGTTAGGATTTTTAAAGCTCCCCAGGTAATTCCAATGTATTGAGATTCCAAAGGTTGAGAATAACGTCATCAGCCTTACCTGAGAGTTTGTTGGAAATATACAGTCTCAGGTCCCACCCCAGACCTACTGCATCAGAATCTTCATTTTAACAAGATCCCAGTGATCCCTACACACATTAAAGTCTGAGCACTGGGCTGGTGCACCTAGAAAGACCCATCAGCCAACCTAGTCTGAATGAGAGGTGAGAAGGCTGTGTGTCAATCATTAACTTACTCATTATTGCTTAGACAGGGACTTAAACTGTAAGATGTGTTGTCACAGCTTGTGAATGAAACAAGTTTAAATTTGGAAACCCCTATTTCAGATTGCCTAGAAATGGCAGAACAGAAAGCTTTTTGGGTAGCCGGCAAGACCTGCTGAAAGGCAGGGTCCCTGGAGTGTGTACATCTGCCCTGCCTTCCATGCAGACCCCTTTCTAAGCTGTGGAGGCGCCTCCTCCCTTCCAGCTGCTCAGTTCCACTCACCGTCTAAAGACTTGGAGGGAGAGACCGCAGGGCTCTTTGTCTCTGACTTCGCTGGACTCTGCGCTGGAGAAGCTGGTGCAGACCTTACAGGTGAGCCAGGCTCCTCTGCAGTGGTTTCTTTCTCTCCTGAAAATACAGAAAACCACCTCAGGATAGGTGTCAAACAGAGGAAAGGTGGGCAGAGAGAGAACGTTAAAAAAAAAAAAAAAAAAAAAGCTTTCTTCCAGCTGGCCCTCGTTTCTCCTAGCTGAAGTTAGCTGCTCCCTCCAAACTCTTTTAAATTTCTGCTACATTCAGGGGGAGGCAAATGGGAGGAGTCAGAGTCATATTCTGTTTCCTCCATCCAGGCACATCTGTCAGTGGAATGTTAGCCCTGATGTGGAGCCCAAGACTGCAGGCGTCCCACCCATGATTTGTTTTCATGTAGCTAATTTATTGTTTATCTAATTTTCATGTTCAGCCCAAATATCTCTAGGGATATAAAGCACCACATTTTCTATCTACTTTTTCAACTGTCCCATTAGAACTCCAAGCAAGCTAGCAAGGGTTTTTCTAGGGCCTGCTTGTGCCCAGGAAGATGGCTGACTCTGGGTGGGGGTAAGGGGGATCGTGGATGACAACCCTGCCCTGAGGGAATGAAAGCCTAGCCTGGTGGACAAAACCAGGAGCTGAATTCTTCAGTGTCTCAGACCCCAAGTGCTTTTGAAACAAAGAGAAGGGCCAGCTCAGAGTGGGGAGGGGGGGTGGAGAGGGACAGAGAGGGCTTTTTTAGCTGAAGGGGGCTTGAGATGGAAGTTCTCGGATCAGCCTAGCCTAGAAGGGAAACCGTGCCAGGAAGGGACAAAGGCATGAATGAGAGCATACAAGCTATCATGAATATGCATATTTGGGAGTCAACATGGAGAGATGGGCTTGACTGAAGATTTTGAAATAAAAAAGGAATAAGGAAAAGACCAGAGGTAGCTGGTGGGAGTTTTCATTGCCAGGCTAAAAGGTTTATACTGGACCTGATAGATTAATAGTAATTATCATTATTATAATTCTCTTATCATAGCTAATGTTTATCTGACCTAAGCCACACTTACAGGCCCTGTTCTAAGCACTCTACAAGGATTAACTCCTTTAAACCCAGGTGAGAGGCTCAGACAAGGTCATGGCAGCATGGCATCACCGTTAGGCGCTGAGCCATGAGGACCATTACATAAGTAACAGCATTATGCTGGTAAGAATGTGACTTGGTTGATGGGGCAGGAAGGGCAAACTGAGAATATGACAGAGGAGAGAGAGAAGTGAAGGCTGACCATGAAGGTGAGGCAAGGCTAGACACAGCCCTGAGGGCCCTGCCAGACGGGGGGGGGGGGGTGTCCCAGGGCCACTGGCAGGAGTGAGTCTTGCTGGTTGCTCTGCTGCCCCTCTGGGTGCCCCCAGCTCTCCCTTCACCCTGGGCGACCCGGCGTTATTTACCGTCAAGTTCTAGTTTCTTCCTCTCCACCTCCTTCTTGTATTCCTCCAGCTCCTGGTCAGTGAGTTGGCTGAAGGGGTTGGGCACGGTCTCCTCTGAGTCGTCTTTGGTATCTGCATCGCCCTTGGACATCAGCTGGCTCTCTGTAGACTGAAAGTTAACCACAGAGTGTGTGTTGCTCTCTGAATGCCGCAGCTGGGGCCCAGGCCCGAGTTTCCTTTCAGACTCATGTGGCTGCCAGTGGTCTTGCTAGGGACAGCGTGGCATGCAGCTCCTTGGAAACAGCTCAGGGCCTTGGGGTAGGGGTTGTTCATTCCTTCCCATGGCTACCTCACCCCCAGACCTGGGTTCTTTGCAACTGCCTGGATGAATGCAGGGAGTCCACCCTCTGCCCCAGAAATAAAATCGAAGGATGCTCCCAAGCAGAAGGAAGACACACGTTTATTGCAATCCCTCCTGTGGATGCTTGCAAGCCATCACTATGCAAATACAGTCGACAGCCCAAAGTCAGTTAGCCAAAAGCCAGCAAGCAAAGCATTGGCTCAAGCCCGCTTCATGCCAGCCATTCCCCACCATGCCCTTCTCCCACCCTCAACAGTTTGCACAAGCCACAGCACACAGCAGGAAGTCAAATGCAAAACACACAATGGCTTCAGCGTTCTTAGTCCAAACTGTTAGTCCTGTTTTGCATAAAGTCATAAATTACAAGGGGCCAAGGTCCTGAATCTCGGATCTTCAACCTGCCTGTACTGCAGGTCCCTGGGGGACATTGGCAAAAATCCCTGGGAGACTTTGTGGAGCCCTTGGCTCTGGGGAGCTCACCAGCTGGACCTTATGTGAGCTTCAGAAATCCTTTGACCCCTCTAGCCCATGACAGGGTCTAAAATTCAGACCCCATAGCCCTTTCTCCTAATTTCGCATCCTCATCTTGACCTTTGAGAATGCACTTCTCTGAAGCTGAGGAGGAGCCAAAGAGCATGAAACTCAGCGGAGGTGAGCCCAGAGCAGTTGGCCCACACCACACACTCTAGGCTGCCTTTCCTGGCCCCCCAGGCCCTCTGATGATGGGCCCATGGGCATCTTCCAAAAGAGAAGCAGCATTGGCCTATCTTAAGGAATCGCAGCGTTCAAAAGAGAATCCAAGACCAGGATCCCAAGAAGAGGGACTCCAAGGAGAACACTTGGTATAAATGGCAGAGTTTTTAACATTGTTGCTCACTGTATTGAACTTTCGCCACCCCCACCGCAGTAGCAGGGGGTATTTCTATTCTTGGCCCTGTGGCACTTTTGGCGTTCCTCATCCTGGCTACTGGCAGGTGGGTGACAATGGTGGTACAATGACATAACCTTCATACTTCCCTGCATGGGCACCCACCTTGTGGGCTGCAGCCTGATCTAAATGATCTCAGTTCACTCTGCAGAGAGGAACAGTTCCTGTATCTCTCCCCTTCTTACCGCTAAGGAATATGCCATGCCCATTGCTATTTGCCACGAGTAGCAGTGATTTTCAACACAAGCCAGAATTCTGATTTTCACCCCTTTTGCTAAGCACTAGACAAACACTGTCCTATCTCAGGCATGGAAACAACTTTATACTTTGTAATCTATGTGGGTTTGTGTGGGCAACTAACGGCCCCAAATGGAGCACCAGTCCTTATATACATGCCTCCCCTCTGCGAGCCCATGAGCATCTTCCCAGAGCTACGGCCTGATGATGCCATATCCACACACAGAGGCCATAAACGCTCAGAGCAGGCAGGCCTGGAGCAGCTGGGAGCTGCCTGCTGCACTCCTGTGATGCCCACTTTGCAGGATAGCAATAGAGGGCAGAGTGGAGTTCCATGGGTGAAGCATGGAAGTCAGCATCACTCCTGGGGCAGGCTGGGCTGCTGCACCCCCGCCCGGTACCCACAGGGGGCAATTACACACTGTCCCTGGTCCTCACAGCATCCGTCCTGCAGCAAGAGCACCAGTGCCCAAGATCATAGGGGACGGTGGGCACGAGGACTCAGGGGTCCTCCTGCCTAGCCCCAGGCACTGAAGACCCAGAAGGCAAACACGTTTCCCCTCCAGACAGGGGCAGCTTCTGCTGTACCGGGCTTCGACTCTTCTCAGCGATGACACTCGCCAGGAGCTGGGACTGAGGCCCTGCCGACTTCACGTCTTGTCGGTTTTGTTCTCGAATCTGTGTGGCAAGGGAAGGGGAGAGTGAGCTAGCTGTTGAGCGTCAGGGTGTGGAGTTTTGGAGGGGGCACTTGGAGGGCATCCTGGTGTCTCGTGTGCTCTTGACTAGGGTCTACAAAGGTCCTCCAGTGAGGTGGGGGCCTGTCTCCCCTATTTCTAACATAGTGTGTCCTCTAAGAGACAGTCTCCATGTGTGCTTCAGAGTGAATGAGCAGTTTATGTAAAATACCAGATTCTCATGAACTCTGAGGAGGTAACTGTAAGAGGTGAAGAGTGAAACAACGCATAGTAGATCCTGGAGGGAGGGCCTCACGTTTTACTGAAGCCCCTGAGAAACTTCTTGACTACCACAGATTTCTGGGGCCACCCCACAACCACTGAATCAGAGTCTCTCCTTGGGGAGGAACAAGGGATTTGACCTGGGCATCTGCATTTTAAATCAGCACTGCAGAAGGTCCTTGAACCATACATTAAATCACTGTTCTGTGAGTACATTTGACCTTTTGGAGGTGGTCTACTACAACCTAAGTTTTTAAAGTAACATGAGAAATGTGAGTGAACTGTAAAGCAAAGGTTGAGAGAGAAATATAAAGGATTTTGAAATTTTGAAAATGAGCTGGAAGGAAAAAAGCATAAAATTCATAAAAACTCAATTTATGGGCAGGTTTCTTAGACATATCTAATGTCATAAGCAAGAACTTCTTTACGTACGAGGGTTATTTAGGACCACATAAGTATAGAGTTAGCACAGTGCTAGAGAATGGCCCGTATATGGTAGTTTCTTTCCCCTAAGAGGAATCAGGGGTTTTGATAAGACAGGTACATCCTGGGAACTCAGCTTATATTTGTGGGACCTGAGACTGCTTCCCGCTTGAGGGAGAAGAGATGGCAAGAGAAGCAGCTCCCACCTTACCTTATTCCGAATGTCCAGCACTTCTTGGGGATCAGTATAGAGAGGCACAAATTGGTTTGGGTTTTCAATCCGTATTGGCATGCCACTGCTGGATTTCTCCACCTCATCAGCCTTCATCCACTGAACAAACACAAGGCCAGGTGGGTAAGGTAAAGGAATAAAGTCACCATGTCCTCCCCTACGGCCCACCCCTGAGATCTGGGCCAAGCGGTCCATGTGCAAGGTCAGCAAGCCTATAGAGAGATGTTCTCTCTTCTTGGGCCTCCTTGAGGTCTGTCTCCCAGAACAGAGATGGGGAACAAATGACCTGCTTGCCAAAGAAGGCCCCCAGGTCAATAGCCATAAAGAGCGCTGGAGAGTAGGGCTCAGAACCTTGACAACCAATTTGACAAACAGGCAGCCACTTGACCTTTAGCATCAGATGACTTACTGATTCTCAATTTTATTTATTTATTTAGAGGGAGAGAGAAAGAGAGCAGGGGGAGGGGGAGAGAGATACTCTCAAGCCGACTCCACACCGAGCACGCATAGCCCAACATGGAGCTCAATCTCACAACCCTGAGATCATGACCTGAGCCGAAACCAAGAGTCTGATGTTTAACCAACTGAGCCACCCAGGTGCCCTGACTTATTGATTTTAAATTGCAGGGCTTCATCTTTTTTGTTTGTTTGTTTGTTTAATGAAGAGCTATTCTACTTGCCTTCAGCTACTTTAATGTTAATGAAAAATCAAATTAAGAGTCGTGTGTGTATGCGTACTGCTGTGTGTGAGAGAGAGAGAGAGAGAGAACGAGAAGAGGTGTGGAGAGGGAGAAGACAACTTAATAGAAACTCATATCCCACCCATCTCCTGGGTTTGCATCATATGGACAATCCAAATGTTGGATGCCCATGAACTTCCCAAAAGCCTCCTGTATATGGGGGAGCAAGAAGCAAAAACCAATTGTTCCTGGATTTTGTGCTGCTGGGAGTGAGGTCCAGCCACCTGCTGGAGAAATCTCTTCTTTGGGCCCCAAACCTCAGTGTAGAGGCGCAAGAAACAGGTGATCAGAGGTTCTGCGGGCATGAGCAGCTGCCCCTAGATGCCCAATAGGAAGCTCTAAAGGGAAACTATAATAACCCAGCCCATGGGATATTTGTTCTGTTCCTTTTAAATTAAGCTGCTTAACCCACAGATACAGCCATGCATCCTCCCTCCACCCTGATCTCCTCCTTACTGTGGTCTTGGGCCGGGGGCTGCCCATGCTCCTCTGAACTTCATCAGCCACATTGACCCGCAGGTAGGTGTTGGGCGTGTTGAGCCAACGGGTCTTCTCCTTCTGCTGCTTCTGGGCATGCTGCCGCAGGGCGGGCACCGGGGCGCCGTCCTCCTCAAACACGAAGGCTGTGACGGTGGCTGGGATTTCCACCTCACTTTTGTGTTTGGTTTTCTCTTGAACAAAGGGGTAGCGGTACGTGTAGCCTGTTCTGTAACCCTAAAAAGGACAGAAACAGAACCACTTATTGTGGGAAACATGGCCTCCACGCACATATCTCACATACCCTTTGCCCCCTTCTTTGTGAAGGACTCAGTTTAACCCAAACTCTCCATAACACAACGCTGCTCCTTTGATGTGTTTCAGAATTGTTCCCTTCTCCTGGTCCCCCAACGCCCTCTTTCCTTCACCCCAACAAGCCCTCTGATCAGAGCTGAGAAAACCCCTAGAACCTTGTGGACCAGACAGGTCTCCTTACCCTAACAGTGTTCCAGTTTTCCATCTACTCCAGGGGTTCTCAGCCCTGGCTGCGTGCTGGGATCCCTTGGGGGCTTTAAAAATGCTGGTACTTGCACCCACCTCAGAGCTGATTTCATTGGACAATGTCTGCGCTGCAGGATTTTTAAAAGCTTGCCAGCTGATTCTAACAGTCAACCCTCATTTTCTTGACTCCAAGGCTTCTAAGCCATTTCTTTCTCAGAACGCTGAAATCTGACTCAGGAACATCCCTGTCTCCTAAGCAAGACCATGTCCCACAGAGGTAGAAACGACTCCTGCTTGGTGAGAACATTCAGTCATCCTGAGAGCTCCCCATGGGATTCTTTTTTGGCTTGGCCTATCTTCTTATTTTTTTTAAATTAAAGAGGCATTAAAATATTTTCCTGATTATAAAGAAAATACAGACCTATCTAGAAAAATCAGGCAATATGGAAAAACATAAGAAAGAAGTGGGTTTTATTAAAAAATCTCATCCCCAGAGATAACCACTAAAAATCTTTCTGGTCAGGGCGCCTGGGTGGCTCAGTTGGTTAAGCGACTGCCTTCGGCTCAGGTCATGATCCCGGAGTCCCGGGATCAAGTCCCACATTGGGCTCCCTGCTCAGCGGGGAGTCTGCTTCTCCCTCTGCCCCTCTTCCCTCTCATGCTATCTCTCATTCTCTCTCTCTCAAATAAATAAAAAAAATCTTTAAAAAAAAATCTTTCTGGTCATCTCCGTAAGCATATATATATATGTGCATATAAGTATATACATAATATATAACTACAGAATATATGTTAATTATATATATGTGTTCTAAATTATATATATAAAACAGTACATAAATGGGACCATACTGCATAAGCAACTTTACAAGCTGCTTTTCTAGTTTATTGATGTGATTTAGAGATTTTTTTCACATTATTGAACCTATAAACACACAGAAACCTTTATTTTTTTATGATTTAGTAAAAAGTAATTGATAGCACTGACACTTTGTCATTTTTAAAATATTATAAACGACCGTGAAATAAGTATATTTATACAGTTCTCTTTAGGCAATTAAAGATTCTCTCCTAAAATAAAAATTACTGGGTCAAGGGGTATACATTAAAAGTTTTCATGTATTTATTATCTTCCCAAAGTGTTGAGCCAATTTATACTTCTACCAATTGTACTGAGTCCTCAGTTCTCACCTCCCTCCCATCTGCTGAGTATTGCTGCGGTTTAAAAAAAAAAAACAAAACTTTGGCAACCAGAAGGGTTAAAAGTAAAATCCTCCAACTTTTTAAATTCTTTTTTTTTATTACTGGTAAAACTAGATATTTTTATTGGCCGCTTGAATCTCTTCCTTTGTAAACTGCTTGTGTTCTTGGTTGGTTTTTCTATTGAGATGTTTACTGTTTTCACATTGATTCATAATACCGCTTTCTACATTAAGGATATTAATTTTTTGAATGTCACAGATGTTGCAATATTTTCCTCCATAGTTTGCCTTTCAGCTTTATGATGGGAGAGATAGTTTATAAAAATATACACTTTCAATTTTAATATAATCATATCTGTCAATATTTGTTAGACTTTCCCACCATACTTGACAAGTTCTTTCCCAACACAAGAGCATCAAAAATGTAAATCTGTTTTTTAATATCTATATGAATTTGCTTTTTATGTTCAAATTTTTGATAAATCAGGAATTCATCTTGTTGTTGTTTTTTTAAGATTTATTTATTTGAGATAGAGAGTGAGAGAGCACAAGCAGGGGGAAGGGAGGAAGGAGAGGGAGAACCAGGCTCCCTGCTGAGCACGGAGCCCAATGCGGGGCTCGATCCCAGGCCCCTGAGATCATGACCTGAGCTGAAGGCAGACGCTTAGCTGACTGAGCCACCCAGGAGCCCTGTGGAATTCATCTTGTTGAAAGGAATGATCCACCTTATTTATTTCCCAAAGGGCTAGCACTCAATCTTTCTCCCACTGTTTTATAAGATGCCTAGCTGCCCTGTGTTAAGTTCTCATACATTTAGGGTCTATTTCTGGATTCTCTAAGCTGTCCTACTGATTCACCTGTTCATTCTGCACTGGTGCTCCTCTGTTTAGTTGCTGAAGATTTTTCATGCTTTACCATGTGATGGGACAAGAATCCCTAATTACTCTTCTTTTTATAGGATTTTCCTAGCCATTCTGAATTTCACTTGGAAAAACATTTTTGCTAAGTCCTTCTGTGCTCCCCTATTATTGAAGGAATTACCCTGAATTTATTAATTTGGAAAAGCAACCTCTTAACCCTATGGGATTTTCTAACCAAGAGGAAATTGTGGCTCTTTATTAAGTTCAGGTTTTCTCTGACGTCTATTGGTAAACAATTATGGTTTTCTTTAAATCAGTTCTGCTTAATGTTTTATGTTCTTTCTGCATTTGCAAATAGGGCTATTTTCTCCCATTACTATATTTTCAAATATATTATTATATGTTAAGATGCAAAAAAAGCTACTAATTTTTAAATATATTTTCATAACTGACTACTTTAAAATGCACTCATTGTTTCTAATATTTTTTCTTAGTTGGCTCTTTGGGATTTTATAGGCATATAACCATACTGTTTATACAGAATAGTAATTTTGTTTCCTTTTCAATATTTATTTTTATGCCTTACCACTTTAGATTGAGTTCCAGTATTATTCCAGAACAATATTAAAAGTGCTGACAGAAAGAATCATTGTTTTGTTTCAAAATTTAATGGAAATACTTCCAGTGTTACTAGTATATTGGCTCTTGTTTTAAGAAAAAAATTACTTTAATCATGTTAAATAAGTGTCCTCCTGTCTTAACAGCTATTATTTTTATAAACTGATGCTATATTTTTATCAAATGACTTTGGTATTTATTAAAATGACCAAAAGGTTTTTAATCCTTTGACTCACTAATATCATGAAATATATTTAAAAGATTTATAATAGGGGTGCCTGGGTGGCTCAGTCGTTAAGCATCTGCCTTTGGCTCGGGTCATGATCCCAGGGTCCTGGGATCGAGCCCCGCATTGGGTTCCCTGCTCACTGGGGAGACTGTTTCTCCCTCTCCCTCTGTCTGCCACTCCCCCTGCTTGTGCTAATAAATAAATAAAATCTTTAAAAAAAAGATTTATAATATTAAACCATCCTTGAATACTAGGAGTGAGGTTTTGCTTTGTTATTATGTATTATTATTCTAATGTTATGCTGGATACTACCTGCCAGTTTTCATGCAGCATTTTTTCATCAACTCAAAGCAAGATTGGTCTGAATGTGTTATAACTGTTACAGTTTCATGTTCCACTTTCACTCTCTGAAACAGTTTAAATGGCAGAAGAATTGTCTGTTTCTTGGGGTGCCTGGGTGGCTCAGTCAGTTAAGCATCTGCCTTCAGCTCAGGTCATGATCCTGGGGTCCTGGGATATTGGGGTCCTGGGATCAAGCCCCACATCAGGCTCCTTGCTCAGCGGGGAGTCTGCTTCTCCCTCTCCCTCTGCCTGCCTCTCACCCTGCTTGTGCCCTCTCTCTCTCTCAAATAAGTAAACAAAATTAAAAAAAAAAGAATTGTGTGTTTCTTAAAGATTTGAAAGAATTCCTGTATGAAACTGTCTGGCTCTGGTGCTTTATTTAGGCATGGATTACTCGGCATGTGAATGTTAACGGGAACTGTATTTTCAAGGTGGATTGTGTTTTTCATCATTATAAAGTGACCCTCACGGTCAGCCTGGTAATAAGGTTAAGGATGGTTTGGAGGGACTGGAGGCAAGGAGAAAAAGATTAATTATTGCAGTGACCTGGACACAATGGGTGCCTGGGTGGCTCAGTTGGTTGGGCGACTGCCTTCGGCTCAGGTCATGTTCCTGGAGTTCCGGGATCGAGTCCCGCATCGGGCTCCCTGCTCAGCGGGGAGTCTGCTTCTCCCTCTGACCCTCCTCCCTCTCATGCTCTCTGTCTCTCATTCTCTCTCGCAAATAAATAAAAATCTTTAAAAAAAAAATAAAAAAAAAAAGAGGGTCCAAGGTAGTAGCAGTCAGGAGGGGAACATGAATCAGATATAGAAACCGTCCAAGGATAGGTTTCATCTTTCACTTCTCCGAGCAATCAAAGAAGTTATGTCCTCTTCCTGCAACTAGCTCATCATGCATGCTTTGCTCTTGTTCTCCAACTGTCTCCTATTTATATGTCCTATCATCAACTAGATTGTTAGATTTTGTATCCTTTAAAGCCCACCCCTAGACACATACCAGTTAACTCCTTACATGATTGATTCATTCAATCATTACAACAGGATATTGTTAGAATGCTGCTCACCAGAATAAGGAAATTAGAGTATTACATGGTTTCTACATTAAAGTCATGAGATACCAAGGCAGAACTAACTATAAAAGAGTGAACTGAACCACAACATAAGATGGCATCGACAGCCTTTAGAACTGGGTGGTAAAGGCCATCATTTAAGAAAACTCAACTACGATTAGAATGACCACAAATTCTGAGTCAGTTGCCAATCAATGAGGCTTTAACAGCTTCATGATGCTTCAATTCTCATGTCCACCTACTGCATCCCCCCTGACTGGTTACAGGGGACTGAGTCTCAATCAACTCACCAAGTTGTCCAGCATCCTCATGAGGGCCTCAAACTCGTGCTCCCCTAGCCGGCTCTTCTGCATAGGCCCAAAGGTGCTCCCTGCCCACTGCACGGAGCCCACTTCATGGGGTCGGTGCTTCTCCTGCTCCAGGAGGATGAGGTTCTCCGCTCCCCCAGCACCGGACAGGGCAGAGACCTGCAGGAAAGAGCAGAAAGACCTCAGTGTGCGTGCATGTATGTGTGTGTGTACACATGTCTAGAAATGTGAGCTGTATTTGGCTTTTTACCCCCCAGAAGAAAAGCTACTCCAAAATTACTGGGCACGTACCCACTTCCAGGGAAAGAGGTCTTAGCAGTTTCTTTCTTAATGCTAGTTCTTAGAGACTACAGAAGAGGAGGAAACAGCAAGTGTTAAACCTCAAGAATAAAGCAATACAGAGGACTGAAAAGTTACCTGGGATACAAACCAACCTCAATTTGTGACTATTTCTGGGGAAGGTGGGGGTTAAGGTCAGGAAGGGCTCCAAAGGGGACTTCAGTTCTTGTCTATAATATTTTATTTCTTCAAGAGGAAAAGATCTGAAGTAAAAAGGCTTTTACTTTTTAAATCTGAGTGGTGGGTAGTGGGTGTATATTATTCTTCTGCATCTTTCTGTGTGTTTGAGATATCTCCCCCTGCCTTTTTTTTTTTTTAATGCGAAAAATCACCTGAAAGAAATAGGCTGGATCCTCGGCCAATAAAACAGGAGAGTAGCCTGATGGTCTGAATGAACAGGTCTAAAGGGAGAACCCATCTTCTGCAGTGGTATTAGTCAGTTGAGGAAACACAGAAGAAGGAGACACCTGTAGGGCTGGTAATACACAGCCGGGCCCCGTGGAGGGAGACGTGGCTTCCCCAGTGCACTTGGAGTATTTGCCCCACTGTCCAGGCTCCATGGCAAGGGGACAGAACAAGTGGCTACAGGCAACGGGCTTTGAGTATTAGGGCAAGAGGTGTGTATATACAGCAAGCGATTTTAGAATGATCCTAGAAGACATTTATTAATCTAACCAATCTCATTTTCTAATTCCATATCCATCTAATAGTACCTTCTGATTACTCCCTGAATCCTGCACTCAGATATAATTGGTTATGATTTGGCTTCCAGGGTGAGGCCAGCAACATTGAGAGAGGGTGGTTTCCCAGTCGTTTCAGTGGGAAGCCAGGTGTTCTGTGCTGCAATCTGATTAATATTTGATATCTCCTGTAAGCCTACTTATTACAGGAGAATGATCCGATTACATAAACTTCCAGTGTTCCAGTTTTTACTGAAAAGGTAAGGATGCAATTTAGCTTGCTGTCCAACATGAGTCTGTGAACCTGTGAGGATCCAGCACACACCCTGGAGTGTGTTGGATTCACCAGTGTAACAAATGGCTCCGATGGGACTTCCTGGAGGTCAGCCAGGCCACCTTTGCAAGGGTGAAGAGGAGGAAGCAAGAACACTCATTTTCCATACCCTCTTCATCCAAGGCATGCATCCAGTTGGAGGCTCCATTTTTATCTGGCAAAGATAAAGACTTTAACTTTCCACCAAAGCTAAGGGTCCTTGTCCAATATCCCTGGAGATAGTCAGCTCTACTATACTGTTGTCCAAATGTTAGAAGGGTTACAGTGAGTTGGTGTAGATTACACAATGCAAATCCACCTTTTTGCTATGCTCATTCACCAGTTCCGGTTCTGGCCTCTGTTGCCATATTTTCTAAGGCTGAAGTCCCTCACACGCACACAGGCTGAGCACGTGGGCATGCACTCTCAAAGGCAGTGAATCCCAGCCGGTAGGTCAATTACCTGGTTCATCCCAGACGCCCATCTGGCCAAGGCAGGGCTCCAGCCCTTGGGACCTTGGAACCCTGACTTGGAGTGCTCTCAGCTGATCTTTCCCACCGACCCTCATTTCCCCCGGAGGCAGTGAAACGTAGTGTTTAAGGACATGGATGCGGACACAGGCTGCCTGGTTTGAATCCTGGCTCTGCCACTTATTCGCTGTGTAATTTGGGGCAGCTATTTACCCTCTCTGTGCCTATTTTCTCATCTGTAAAATGAAAAAAATAGTAGTATCTACCTCGTGAGCATTATTGAAGGTAATATTTGTAAAGCATCTAGAATAGCACCTGGGGCATAGAGTGCCACATCAATGTTTATGATCAAAAAATTCCGAGCTTTTACTATGAAAGAAACAATGTGCCTCGTCATTCATGGAGGAAAGAACTGCCCACATCCTTACAAGAACTGTGCCTCCTCCCACCTCCCCCTTCCCCCATTAGTTTCCATGGCGATGGGTAGCAGATGGAGAAGAATTGCCTGAGCTTCTTCCCATCTGCCTGTAAGCAGAGCAGGGAGCTGCCTCTCTCAGCTGGGGATGACCCAGTTTCCTAGAACCCCAAACCGATAGAGAGCACTGAGAACACTGTCCCCAGGAGAATGGACTAGGCTTTTAGCCTCGAACCACTAAAATGACCACAGCCACGTTCATTTGTTTGCCAAGGTCACTGAGGGAGAAAAGTAGGCCCATGATGAAAACAGAACCTCAGTGCTGGCTGTTCAAGCAGAAATGAGCTGCCCAGGGCCTACCATCGCAACAGCATCTGTAGACTGCTGGCCCATGGGGTCGCCCATGCCCTAAACCACCCACACCTCTGGTCTACTCTGGCCTGTTCTGCTTCCACACCCTCCAGCTTCCTTTCTCTCTAGAAGCCTCCCTGCTCCACGAGCTAAAAAAAAAAAAAAAAAAAAAGCCACTGGAGTTTTTCTGGAGGTTATTTGCTTCTATCGCCTGATGCACTTTAACAAGGTCACATGGCAGTCCTGACTGAAAAGAAAGTGACAGCAGACAGGGCCGGAAGAAGCCGCCGGGGCTGTCGGGGCCAGTGGCTGGCAGCTCTGTGCTTTCATCTCCCCAGCTGCTAGGCGGCCGTCCTGCCTTTGGTTAAACTGTACGGAGGCCATTTTTCAGTGTGGAGCCTGGGACAGGTCTTCACCAACGTGGTGGGGGACACATGGGCATCTCTCTCCATTCATTTCCAGGCCATGCTGTCTTTGCAAAGTGGTAAGAACTATTTTCTCATGGAAACCTCTTCTTCAGAAGGAAGATGGGGAACTCGTTAGAGCACAGTTATGGGGAAAGAAAGTGGGCGTATCAGAGGCTCTGCCAGGTTCTAACATCAGTTGGGGTCAGAGCTCAGGGCCAGCGTCCCTGGGGTTGCATCAGGAAGGAACTGCCTTGATCCCGGGTCTACCTTCGGGGTCAGAGCTCAGGGCCAGCATCCCTGGTTGGGGCTGCATCAGGAAGGAAGTGCCTTGATCCCGGGTCTACCTTCTCCACCTTCTGTTATGACCACCACCGTCTGGGGGGGTGGGGCAGTCTCATACCACTTCTAACACCTCTTCATCATTGTCTTAACAACTGTCCTCTCAACATATTCATTTAAAAACCCTTGAGAAAGGTGCCGCTTGCAGAACCTCCACTAGCTATGCCTCTGGGATTATCCCATTCTTTCCCCCGTCCCCCAACGCCCAAGACAAAGGCAGGCATTCCACCTGGGGCGCTGCTCTGCCCAGACCAGCCAGAAGAGGGCAGACAGGACACCAAAGAACCTTGCAAAGAGCTGACTCATCCTGGAGCAGTTAGCCTTCCCTTCTGTCAACTAAGTCCTAAAAATACCATCAGCAACACCTCTCCTTATCTGAAAGGACCCATCCTCACAAGGACCCCATAGGCCCCCCTTGTCCAGCTGAGGAAAGCAAGTCCCTGACCCAAAGACACATATCCCAGAGCTGGGAAGGATGGAGTCCATTCAGTTTGCAAGGCCCCCTTACTCACCCCTGACAGCTTGCCACACTGAAAGGAGCATGTGTTTTGCTTATGTAACACCATCTTGTTATCTGGCAAAACTATAGGATTTGTGTTTTCCTATTGCTTTTCCACCAATTCCTTTAGGGGTCCCATGATCACTGACAATCCCCACCTACCCTCCACCCCATCCCCTACTAGTTAGGAGAATCTCACAATGGACTCCCTGGACATTACATTGGGGATTCCCTGGTGTTCAGACTTGCCATGTCTAACTTCACCCCTTTCTGGGCTGGACCATGTTCATGGTCTTTGCAAACTACACCCTCCAGACAAAAAGAGAAAAGACCCACCTACGATGTGGTGTCTATTTGGCATAGCTAGATGTAACAGTTATACCCCAGGTAATACGTGAGCATGGTAAGAACTTTTACATCCCCTTTTACGGTTTCTCCCACTTTCCAATTGATGGGCCTTGGCAGCTCCCTGTCCTGGGCACTGACCCCCAAGAGGTAGATACCGGTTGTTAGGCAACAATGATAAATATTTTAAAGCTACAAAACTGATTCTAAGTGCAAAACTTTAGAAGGATAAGGTGGTGCCACGGCAGAGAAATAGGGCAAGGCTTTTAGATGGCTGGCTCCCAGGACTCCTTAAATCACGGCCAGTGGGGCCTCCGTCAGAGCCACGCCAGGGCCCACTCCCCAGAGGAACTTGCTCACCTGTATCTCACACGCAGCCTGCAGGTGGAAGACCTTATAAAACGCCTCCTCCACGGTGTCACCTAGAGCAACCACTCCATGATTTCTTAGCACCAGGATCTGCATAGGAGCAAATGGCCAATTAAAACTTCAAGCCTTTTAAACTTTAGTGAGAAGGAGAGATTTTTCATTTACTCCAGATCAGTTTCCATATCCAATTCCAAAGCATGCCCCCAACTCCTTGTTCATTCTCCCTGTGCAAACACCCCAATGCTACCCCGCATGTGATTTTAACCCTAAGCATCCTCCCTAAAAAATAGAAGATGCTTTTTAAAATGGAGACCAGAGAGCTTGGTGGATTTCTTTGGGCAATACCTGGATTTTTAGGTCTTGGAGGGGTTTGAAGTCTGAAAAACTGGTGTCTGTGTTAAAGTGAATGAAATTACTTTGTGTCCAATAGGAGGGTCTAACCTCAAAAGCAATCTCTTGCTCCTGTGACTTAGTTGACTTGGAAATCAAAACCCAAGGGGGTGGCTCTCTGAGGGGTGGCTCTGCAGAAACAGGTGCATCATGTTACCTCTCTGGACTCAAGTCTCTTCTCCATGAACTCAGTGAGGCCCTGGTAGCTCTAAGACCCTCCATTTCTGTGAAGGAGGCCATAGTGACCTTCTACTCTTAACTCTCTGGTTTTGCAGAAGAGGAAACAGAAGCCTAAAGAAAGTGAAAGCCTCCCAGCTAATCAGGGGCAGAATTGGAACTAGAACCCAGGTATTCTCACCATTGGTGCAACATTTGTCACTCAGCCAGGGGCAGACAGACAAAAGGGGGTGGGGGAAAGAAACAGAAATGAACTTTTACAAAGCCTGACTCCCTAGAGTTCAGATGCAGAAACTGTTCCTTGGTTGGTTTTATCCTCATGAACCAGACAACGCCCACCTAACAGCAGGGACACAGATCCATGTGTTGGATGTGTCCTTGCAGAAGTGGGCTGAGGCCTAGTGGTCTAATCATCACATCCTCTCTTGCTGAAAACAGCTGGAGGTTTTTCTTCTCAAGTGCCAGAGAAATAGAAAGAGATGATGACTCTGGCCTAAAAGATTTTGTAGATAGCAAATCTCTGAAATTCTTGTATCATTTCGTAGATGTGAACATCTCCTCCCTCTCCGCGCACCACTAATGAGGCTTTAAAGAATGTTGGGAGAGAGTGGCAGGGATTTCTCCTCTGTGTCAGGAATGGGAAGGCAGAGACTCTCCAACTGGAAATGGTTCAGGCAGTGAGTGCCTTTCAAGGACGGGAACAAGCATCCATCAATGTAGGCTCAGCTCCAGAACTTCCCGTACTAAGCTGGCAACCCCTAATGATGTACTGTTAAAAAATAAGTCTTTAGATTTAAGCCAAACAATAGTGAGATTCTGTTCTTCTCTATCAAGTTAGCAAAAGAAAAAAAAGTGGTAATACTCAAGTTTGGGGAGAGCGCAGGGAAGCAGCATTCTCATATACTAGACTATGGGGGAGGAAAGGGCAATGCGCCTGAATGAAGTAAGAGTTCTAAAATGTGTGTCCCTGGGAATTTATCCTAAGGAAATGATCTCAAGTATATACAGAGATTTAGCTAAAAGGATTTTCATCATGTGTTGTTTATATCAAGGAAAAATTCAGGGTGGGGGGGGACTTCCGGTGTCCCAATTTGTTAAAGTAAATGGTGGCACAGCCATTTACACAATGAGGTATAATCTAATAATTTAAAATAGTGACTTAGAGGGGCACCTGCGTGGCTTAGTTGTTAAGCGTCTGCCTTCGGCTCAGGTCATGATCCCAGGGTCCTGGGATCGAGCCCTGCATCGGGGCTCCCTGCTTGGCGGGAAGCCTGCTTCTCCCTCTCCCACTGGCTGCCACCCTGCCTGTTTGTGCTCTCTATTAAATAAATAAAAACATTAAAAAAATAAAATAGTGATTTAGAAAATATTTAATAACATACAAAGGTGTTTATTGGATATTACTAAGGGAAAAAAGGAGGATATATTTTATGATCCACGTTTTCTAAATATATGTGAATATATTTGTGGAGCATGCACCAAAACCTCAGGATAGTGGGATAAAGAGAATTACATTTCACTTTTTTGTTTATGTGCAACTTCTAAACATTGTCCACTGAACACATGTCACTCATGATGTAGGCTTTGGACAATCCCACCCCAGAGTGTCTTCCCGAAACAGCCGAGCAAACCTTGCAGGTAGGTCCAAGGCACTTCTGCAGGCTGATTCGATCTGCTTCCTGCTCCATCCCACCATTGAAGTCATAATAGGCCATGTCCCCCACCAGCAGGGCATTGTGGGAGACAGGCAGGAGGCCACACTTCATGGCTGACACCTTTAGTGAGACAGTGGAATGGTTAGCACCTGCAGCTCCCCCACCCCAGTCTTTGCCCTTTCCTCGGAGTGGCACAGCCAGGCTCTACTCTGGGGACTAGTGCAGGAGAAAGCAAGCCCCCAAGAAAGGCACTGCCCTTTGACTCTGCTACACCAGGCTGGGCTCTGGCTTGCTGGCTGCTTCCTCTGACGTCTTTCCATCATCATTTTGACAGTAGCAATGTCAATATACCTCTCTCTAAAATTGCTACAAAGAATGCCTTTGAGAAAGCTAGTGCTCCTGCCCACCCCCTTGCTCTTCTCTCGTCCTAGGATTCTGGGAAAAGATAGGGGATAGCAGAGTTGGCACTAGGCTGGAGTGAAGCAGGGTCCAGGGTCCTCTGGGGTGAGCTGGTGGAAATCCTCAGCCTTGAGGTCAGGGCAGAAAACAGGGAGGCCCACTGAGAGGCCCCCTTTCACTAGTGATAGGGCAATAAGAGTGCCAGAGAACAGGGTTAAAATCCATGCCTCAAATCCTGCCTTTTATTAAAAGCAAGGAGCAGGGAGAGGTTTAGGAGAGCCTCCTGCCTTTGTTCCCTCATTCTGTCCCATATTCTGGAAAATCTGAGTGCTCATAACTGGTGTGCTTCACAGAAAAAACCCAGGCCAATGACAAGTCCGCTCTGCTCCTGTAGGTGTTAAGGTCTGGAAGTCAGTAAGATGGGTTGAAGGTTGAGGGGACACCCAGACCTGCTTGGTTGTGGTCTTTCCAAGTGACACTGGAGTGCCTAAGGTACACGTGGAGAAATTACCAGAGCCTCTTAGGGGACAACCTGATCCTTGAGGGTATTCCTTCTACTCTCGCTGAGTTTTCCTTGTTCCTGTCCCCAGCTCACAGCCCACCCTGGGTTATGAAAAGTGGACAAGTCCAGGTCCCCACCATCTTATCTTTTATCACAATCTCTTCTCACCAGAGCCTGGGCTGGGGGTGGGGGTTGGGGCAGGCACCAGCCTTCAGTCCAAGAGGACTGATCTGAGTGGAAACTCAAGAGGTGCTGTCACTTGGGTAAATGGTGCTTATGTGTGTGTGTAGCAGGGTGGGGGACGCAGCAGAGCAAACACTTCATATCTTTGCCTCATGTCCCCAAACCAAGACTTCTGTGCTTGGAAAAATGGAGAGGATTAGGGTTACCCCATGGGGTGTTCCCTCTCCTCACCTTGGCTTGAGTTCAGGAAATTTTTCCAGAACTGTTTTAAATAACGAGATTGCCACTAGCTTGGGGGGCTTATGTCTTTCGTCAGGGAGCACCTCAGAGAAGGGGGTAGCACGGGTTTGCTGCCAGCCTCAGGGACGGAAATGCTGCCCTTAGAGCGGACACTCACGGCTGCCGTGGCTGGCGTGTGCAGGTGGATGATGCAGCGCACATCAGGTCTGGCAGCGTAGATCGCTGAGTGTAGACAGAAGCCTGTGGTATCCACTGGGAAGCAGCTGCTGCCCTTCTCCACCACCTCTCCCAGGATGTTCACCTTGATCTGAGCCGGGGAAGAGAAACTTATGGCCACAAGGCAGGTGGGGGCCCTCAGGACCCTCCTTGCAGGTGGGCCACACCCACCACCTCCAGGCATTCCCGCACCCCAGGAGCGAGGACTGTGCTTAGTGTTGGGAGAAGAGACCTGGTTCCTGCTTTTGGTGAGGACACAGGCAAACAGGAGACATGACTGATTATAATTCAGCAGGGAAAATGCTAGAGCAGATTTTCTCAAACTTGACTGGGCATAAGAATCCTCTGGAGATCGTGTCAAAATACAGATTCTCTGCAAACTGGTGCAACCACTCTGGAGAACAGTATGGAGATTCCTCAGAAAGTTAAAACTAGAGCTACCCTATGATCCAGCAATTGCACTGCTAGGCATTTACCCAAAGGATACAAAAATACAGCTTTGAAGGGGCACAACAGCCAAACTATGGAGAGAGCTCAAATGTCCATTGACTGATGAATGGATAAAGATGGGAGGGGTGTGTGTGTGTGTGTGTGTGTACACACAACTGCTGGTGGCTCTGGCTGGTCCCACATACAGTAAGGCTGTGGTATTCACACACACACACACACACACACACACACACACACACACACACACAC